AGTGCGGAAACCCTGGCTTTAAACACAGATCCAGACATGTAATTGTACACCCTGCATGTGGTGGAACACGTTGTCCCCCAAACACGCAGGAAACGACACTGTGTCGTGGACGAACTGCAGTAGGTTCCCAATATTCTACTTCGTCCACATGGAGTTCTTGCAGTGCTGTACAGTGTGGGACCCCTGGCTCTAAACACAGATCCAGACGTGTACTTGTACACCCTGCATGCAGCGGAACACCTTGTTCCCCTAATATGCGAGAAACAGCGGCGTGTCATGGACGAACTCCAGTCGGTTGCCAATATTCTACTTGGTCCACATGGAGTAAATGTCCAGCAGTTGGTTGCGATGAAACCCAGACATGCAGAAGACACATAATGGCAAGAGAGCAATGTGGTGGGACGCCGTGAAATGTGGAGGCGTTACGTAAAACTCAACCTTGCAAACAGACGTTTTGCATCAACCGAGGAACCTTACTTAATGGGAAATGTTTCTGCAAGACTGCCTTTAGTGGGAGCTGCTGCTAGTACAATAGTATGTGGTCACAAATTATTTACTCCTTGATTATTAACATACAACACATTTTTTTCCAACCTCAACAGTGAAAATTGTTACATTGAGAGTCATACCTCTCACAGGCGAGAAACGTTCGGTGCGAACTTAAATCGTTGTTTAAATGCCTTAGCATCTTAATTGTACTTTTTATTCTGTCAAAGTCGTGCAGAATCGTACCGTCCCCACCCTGCTATCCTAAGGTCAAAGCTGGCTGAATTCACAATGCAAAAACATGAAAAATAAAAAAGAATAAAAGCAAAAAGTTAGAGGACGGAATTGCTTGGGTTGATTGACCCGGCCGACTTCTCTCTACGTTTAATACCTTTCCTTTTATGTACCTTTACAAAGCGAACTTTTTGCGCAAGCTTTGCTATTTGCTATTTGAGCGCTCAAATAGCAGCGCGTCTCAACATGTCTCTTTTTTGCACGTTCAGACATCACCTTTTGAACAAAATAATTGATGGCCCCGACCCCTGAATGGGATTTTGAGTGATAGCAAGCAAGCAAATAAACAGACTAGAGCTTACCAGTGACCATTTCTTAATTAACTGGAGAGATGAGTTACTAGTGTAATACCTTATTTGGTCACTTTAACGATTTTTTTCCTTGTTAATTATCCAATTAGCT